TTACACGGCACTCGTGATTACAAGGCTTTAAAGTCTCATATGACTCCTTAGTGACGTAGTCCAATGACGAAATAGAATTTAAAAATTAAACGAGACTTACCTTAAGTCGAAGTTTGATTGTAATTCTATGAGTTATTGGACAAGGAAACTAAGGAGTCACCCACCACTTTTTTCTTGACATGAGCCTATATTTATATATAGTACACGCAAACCCTCCCAATAAATACTTGAAATCACTCGTTGCTTTAAATATTGAACACTCGATCTGCGCGCGCATATCTCATATGACTCCTTAGTTTCCTTGTCCAATAACTCATAGAATTACAATCAAACTTCGACTTAAGGTAAGTCTCGTTTAATTTTTAAATTCTTTCATACTTTTAACGCAAGCTTGTGAGCCTAAATTACATCATAGCGCACTTCCTAAAAACACAATGTTGAAGGATTGTATTGGATTGTCAATGGATGGATCATTTTCAGAAAGATATGAACTCATTTTGCCAGTGAGATCGCATATAGCTATAGTAATATTCTGGTCAAGTCTCGAATCGAAATTCAAAATCGCGCGGTCTATTACCAAGTGTACGAAGCACGGATCCACAAGTCTCGTACTGCCAAGGAAACCTTTCAAAGAGGACTTGACTATATGCGCTGATATATCACCAAATACTGACCCTGTGAAGTCAAACCATGCACAGCGTTTCGAATGTAACATCAAACCGCGTTTACCACAGCCCACGACGTCGAACTCTCATATCGCCTTAACTCACGTTTACAAGCCGTCATTTCTTCGTTCCTTCCGCCTTTCGCCTTTGTCGAAGCATATTGACCACAAGATTTATAATTACATTCGTACCATTGGCATTTTAAAACCTTTCCGCGGTCGCCGCAGTCGAAGAAAAGTTAAAATACGCAATATGACACGGAACTATATTCACGTCCATGGTCACAATAAGAAAAGTAAAATTAGCATATCTTCGCATCATATTATGATGTGATGCGTGCCTAATACATGTAACTTTTTCCCAATCCCTGCTGGAGAAACCTCAACCGATTCGCGACTATAGGAAGAGACGCCGTCTAAAGAGTTTGTCCCAAGCCTAACGCTAACCAATGTGATGTCTCTTGCTCCCAAAATCAACGAAGTCAGTCTTTTCCTTCTGAACAAAAATCCCGATGTAGTATTTATCACAGAAACCTGGCTTACAAATGCTATCGATAAAAGCCATATCAATATTCCCGAATATAACGTTGTTTGTAAAAACCGATTCTCTGGTAGTCACGGTGGCGTTTGTTTATACTTGAGGAACTCGATCAGTTACGAAATTTTAGACCACTTTCACAACGCCGAAACTGAAGTTCGTTGGGTTAAAATTAGGCCGACCAGACTTCCTCGAGGATTCCCATGTATAATTACTGGTACCTTATATCATCCTCCAAGTTCGGACAATAACATGATGTTAGAATACCTTGCAAAGTTTCCTACGGACATAGAAGGTCATTATCCTGGGTGTGGAATAATTTTAGCTGGCGACTTTAACCGTCTCAATGTAAGCAGACTATCTCGTCAGTTCCGAATGAATCAACTTGTTCATCTACACACAAGAGGCGATCAAACACTAGACCTTGTCCTCACGAATCTCAATAAATTCTATGACAAAAACTCCCTTTCATCCTTCCCTCCGTTCGGCCTATCCGACCACAATGTTTTACTATTAAATCCGAAAGAAGGAGGTTGTTTTCATCTCGGGACAGGAAAAAAGTTTTTTGGAAACGCGACACAAGGGAAATTCGGAAACAAGAATTGGGACGGTACCTTAGCTCCCTAAACTGGGACATACTCAACAATATTAAGCCATGCAATAGGAAAGAACAATTATTTGAGGACTTAATTAAAACTGGGCTGGATATAATAATGCCACTAAAGAAAACAAAACGACACACCAACAATCAACTTTGGATAATACCTGAATTTGTCACCCTGATTAAACGCCGACAGGAAGCTTTCGCTCAGAAACAAATGACAGAATTTCGTCACTACAGAAACCTTGTAAACCGAGAGAGAAAGCGTTTACGCGACAACTACTTTTCCACGAAAGTAATCCATCTAAAGGGTACCAAACCGTCTGTTTGGTGATGTGAGCTGAAGCGTATTTCAAGTATGCAGCCCAACAGTAACAACGAAAACATTTTTACGCAGCTAAAATTTAGTGAACACGATTATAAAGGTAACCCAGAGGAAATTGCAAATAAAATAAACGAGGCCTTCTTACAACCCATGCGTGAATATGAACCTCTGTCTAGCAACCCATTCAACAATGGTGAGTTTGGTCCAGACCTAGAGACTTTTGAATTGACAGAACTAGATACATGCAACTTACTTAGGAGATTTAATCCTCGAAAAGCTAGCGGGCCTGACGGTATCCCAAACTGGTTGTGTAGAACTTATGCCGAGATACAAGCAAAACCAGTCAGACTCTGTAATATTATCAATTATTCCTTTGATGAACAGAGATTACAGTCAATGCGGAAACATACTGACATCATTCCAGTCACGAAGGTAAAACCAGCCACTGATGTCAACAAACATTTGCGACCGATCTCCTTGACGCCATCAATCTCTAAAGTTGCGGAAAAATTTGTGATAACAAAGTACATAGCGCCTGCTATATTGAATGCATTAGATCTGGAACAGTACGGGGCCATACCAAAGTCCTCTTCAGTGCTTGCCCTAATCTCAATGATCCATGAATGGTCCTAAGCTACAGACAAATCTGGCGCATCTGTCAGAGTAAATTTGATTATAGAAAGGCATTTGACCTAGTTGACCATTCCATTCTAATTAAAAACTTCAAAACCTGACATTACCCCGAAAGGTGTGCACCTGGATAACCGACTTTTTATCCAACAAATATCAAAGAGCTTGCCGACGCCCTTTCGTTATGGAGACACGTCCCCTCAGGAGTACCCCAAGGCACCAAGTTAGGCCCCTGGCTATTTCTTCTAATGGTGAATGACCTACGAATGAACGGCATCAGTACGTGAAGTTTGTTGACGACACGACAATTTCGGAAATCATTCCAAAGAATTCCCCCCACCCACACTCAATCCGCTGCCATGTCAGTTGAGAAATGGTCAGCAGACAACAAACTGCACTTAAACGCAGAAAAATGCAAGGAGCTGAGGATCGACTTTGAGCGTGTTGATCAGGAGTTGACCCAATTAGAGTAGATAATGTTCCACTCAAAATAGTGGACCACGCAAAAATCCTGGGCCTGATAGTCTCGAACTCATTACAATGGAACCTCCATGCCGACCATGTCATTAAGAAAGCGAACAAACGTCTGTATTGTCTGGTCCAACTCAAACGGGCAAATGTTCCTGAGGCAGATATTGTTAATTTTTATTGTACCTGTATTAGACCCACTCTCGAATACGCATCACCGCTATTTCACGATCTTGAGCGAGTACAAAAACCATCCTTGGCTATAATTTACAGAGAACAGCCATATTCAGAGAGCCTGCAGCAATCTGGACTAAACTCCTTGTCGGTCCGAAGACAAACACTGTGTGAAAAGCTTTTCCTTAAAATATCAACTGACAGTGACCATAAACTCCATGCACTGCTGTCGCCAAAACACCAAGCGAAATATAACTGAAGATACAAACGCCTCTATGATCTTCCAATGACTAACACTAACCGTTTTAGGAACACTTATCCATGATATATTATAATAATTGAGTAGACTAACATGTCTATCTATCTAATTTAATTTAATTTAATCATTTGTCACAACACAATCATTACGCATACATCTACAATAAACAGAGGACATAAGTGTGACTGGGGAAAGGAACAGGACTTGCGTCCCAATTGACACCTGACACGTCCCAATTGACACCATCTATCTATCTATTTATCTATCGAGATCGAGTTTCAAGGAGACAACATAAAAAGAACGCCTAACTAAATATTGGGAAAAGGCAAAGAGAAAGATGAAGACCACAATTCGTTTTATATCCACTACACTCTAAAAACACACTGGTTGAAAATATCCTGGGTAACTCTGTTTGGGGTAACTAAGACATAACATACAAGACATACATAAGCTATAGACGTAAATAACATCACTGGTATATACTGTACTTACCAGGTGGTTGACTAGGCTCATCATCTTTATGTGCACCATACGGTTTAGGGATCGGCGGAAGTTTCTTCTTCCCACCATGTGGTGCATCAACATTATCCTTTGACTTTGAATATGGCTTCGGCGCTATAGGTGGAGGTTTCTTTCGTGTTTGATGTGAACTGTTATCTACTTGCGCATACGTATCAGAATGTATGTCATGAGTTGAATGCTGCATGTCTGTCTTCCCACCATGTGGTGCATCAACATTATCCTTTGACTTTGGATATGGCTTCGGCGCTATAGGTGGAGGTTTCTTTCGTGTTTGATGTGAACTGTTATCTACTTGCGCATACGTATCAGAATGTATGTCATGAGTTGAATGCTGCATGTCTGTCTTCCCACCATGTGGTGCATCAACATTATCCTTTGACTTTGGATATGGCTTCGGCGCTATAGGTGGAGGTTTCTTTCGTGTTTGATGTGAACTGTTATCTACTTGCGCATACGTATCAGAATGTATGTCATGAGTTGAATGCTGCATGTCTGTCTTCCCACCATGTGGTGCATCAACATTATCCTTTGACTTTGGATATGGCTTCGGCGCTATAGGTGGAGGTTTCTTTCGTGTTTGATGTGAACTGTTATCTACTTGCGCATACGTATCAGAATGTATGTCATGAGTTGAATGCTGCATGTCTGTCTTCCCACCATGTGGTGCATCAACATTATCCTTTGACTTTGGATATGGCTTCGGCGCTATAGGTGGAGGTTTCTTTCGTGTTTGATGTGAACTGTTATCTACTTGCGCATACGTATCAGAATGTATGTCATGAGTTGAATGCTGCATGTCTGTCTTCCCACCATGTGGTGCATCAACATTATCCTTTGACTTTGGATATGGCTTCGGCGCTATAGGTGGAGGTTTCTTTCGTGTTTGATGTGAACTGTTATCTACTTGCGCATACGTATCAGAATGTATGTCATGAGTTGAATGCTGCATGTCTGTAGTAAAAGCTGCTAAAGCGTTATCACCTCCACCGCTGTCATTTGACTTGACAAAAATATATTCAGGATTAATTTTGTCAAAATTTCCACTAGGAATAGTAGTAAACTCTTCGTACAGTATGCTAACAACTCATTGTGTGGAACGTTTGCTGGTGTGGATGAATCAATTCACAATCGACAATTGCAGTACTGAAAGCTCCTTTGTCAGTTACCTATAAAGGTCTAAACTCTATATCAGCATGGGCATATACAGATTTCACTGGTTTGTTCTGCACGGTTATGATCAGATCCTGCTTGATTTTTGTCGTGACTTATATCTCCATGAGGTTTATCTACAAAACCAAGTAGTGTAATTTATCTTCAATAAATAATAGATTCAAACGCGATAACAGTGAATCAAACGGCGAACAATATATTATGTTAATGACAAGGTAGGACGCATTCGCGGGAGAATTCTAAATCGCTAATCTAATCCCAACAATTTGTTTCTAAAATAAGTTTAATTTGGCAAACCAGCTTGAAAAACAACACGCGCATGCTTTCGGAACTATTGTCTTACGAATAAACATACGTTGAAAATTATACATTTCGAATCTGGCGAACAACTGCGACAAAAAATGCTGCATGTTGTAATATGCGAAAGGTTATTTTCACGATCCAGTACGATCACATCCGCAGTTAGCAATTTGAAAATTAAATTCATAAAATCATTAATAATTCATGAAGAAATCCTGTCCACATGCGTGAACTTTGTTTACATTTTGAACTGCTATATTTGTAAAATGCGATATATTACTAACTGAATATCTAACACTTTTCTGGTTCGCTATGCTTGTAAATGAATATAAACTGTACGTTTTCAATTCAAAAGAGTCGAAAGATGCAAAATTTGAGCAATGTTTATATCTGGGGGTCCTCCTTTGTTATGAGCAGAACTGATGCGCAGAACGGAGTGGACATCATTTTAACTATAGTTTCAATATTTTCCATTCCAGCGGCTAGTAATAATTTCCGGGTAGATTCACATCTACAGTATTTCTGATGCTATGAAAACCTACCAGGTACTTTCGGCTTTTTACCACTGCTTTCTAACCGTGATGGATTATCCTGAAAGAAACAAAATATGCGGGATTACCATGCAGCTAACAGCCATGGCAGCTTAAGGTGCCTCCCTACAGTTATTCTTGTTTAAGCAATAATTCCGTAAAACAGGCTTATTCGTGCAGAACGCGAATTCTTTTCGACTTGGTGGCAATATTGGTCACCTAAGGAATATTTCGAACTAGATTTCGACGATGTCAATGTTGCCATGGCAACATGACGACAGCATAAAGCCTTCCAATTTAACCCATAAATGTGCCGCTATTTCAAAAACGATGTCGGTGACCTATCTTTTTTATTTCATATATCAATAAGGAATGATGCTCTGCAACTGTGGTGAAAGTTTAAAAAATTCTGTAGTGTGTGATTTTTTTAAAAGCGAAAAATTTATTGCGAAATTTCCACACTACAGATTTTTTTAAAATTTGAAATTTATAAAATTTACCGCAAAATAAATTCGTGGTCAAAATTTGAAGATAGGTCACCGATGAAACTAATGAGTAAAATTAGGCTATGAAACTGAAATATTTTTCTGTTTACATATAATCACTTTAACCTTGTAGAAACCAGTGGCGTGCTGGCAGGGGGGGCCGGGGGGCCACGCCCCCCCCCCAGCTGGCAATTCTTGGGGGGCGCAAAAATGAAAATGGGGCGCCGAATTTTGAAAGTGGGTGGGAAAAAACGCATTCTCGAAAAAATATGGTTACTTCCGCCAAGAAAAGACATGTTTATAGGCTACAGTATAAAACAGACTAAGCGCATATAGGCGACATATATTAAATTACAGACTATTTTGCCTATAACCGTATTTGCTACCTCACAGCTCACACGAAATCGTTCATATAGAAACATGATCAGTGATCACAGGCAATGTCTCATTACCGGAATATTGGTCAGGTTTCGATCGAAGCGATCACAGGAATTATGCCCTTTTTTGCTGGTATTATGCCCTTATATTATGCCCTTTATTATGCTTCACGAATCACGAGAGCGGCGCAAATTAGATAGTTGAAGTTATGATAACTGATGTTTAGTTGTGTACGCAATTTAGTTGTTTGCACAAGAAGCATGAGTAATGTAAGCAATGAAATAATGCTGAAACATGCCCTTTTGGCAGCCAGGCAAGGAAACCTTAAAATGCATATGCGTGGGTTGCTTGTGTTATTGTATAAAAGAGCTTTAAGTTGTAAATGTACTCAGAACAGTAGATCAGTAGAGAACAGAATTGGGATTAGATTAATCGCTGGAAGTAGTTAGCATTGCATAATTTAAGTACTACTACTAAATTCTAACCGAATTGCAAATTTCGACACGTTATAATGCCGTTTCCTGACCATCAGATTTCTGTCAAATCTTCCCCCAAAGTCCAGGAAATGGCATTTCAGAGACTCTAAATTCAAAAATTTTCCTGGGGGGCATGCCCCCGGACCCCCCTAGACAAACCTTGCACCTGCGGCACTCGGCTCGTGCCTTCGGCCCTCGTTTATCAAGTGTAACATTATAGGGGCGCATATTGGTTGACAGCCCACTGGCCCCTCCAGAAAAATAGTACCCAGCACGCCACTGGTAGAAACACGACTAAAAACGTGTGAACGTGAACGTTTTCTTGATAAGTAAACAACTTTTTAAACGTTTGTATGCAATTTTGCAAATGTTTTACAGTTGAATCAGTTGACAGTGTATAAAAAAATTTTAAAATATTGTTTCGTAGCTATTTTTTGGTGTAGTGATATTCGTATCATATATATGTAGAAATTCTGTATAGAAACGCTTTTTTCCATTCGAAACCTTTCAGAAATAGCTTTATTTTTAAAAAAAGCATGGTCAATTTTTGTTTTGTTTTGATCATGCAGTTGCGTGGGATAGTTCACGTACTTGTCCCGCGAACATCCGACACGGAACTGTAGGGAGCCTCCTTAAGGAATACTTTATATTTTAGGGTCTGTTACTAGGACTGGCAAGACTGGACGTTTGCCGCGACGCCGACGGGATGGTTTTTTTTATCTCTCGGTCTGTAATATATGATGATTACGTAATGATTGACATTCGATCCAATAAGCTTGATCAGATCATGAATAAGTATTATGTAACATACAACTAAAGAGTCAGTCTTATATAGCCTACGCTGAGCTCAACATATATAGTCATAATAAATATACATATAGCAAATATATCCAAGAGTCTATTAAAAAGTCAGTTTCCCTTTATATGCACGATCGAGAGGCGCGACGGGACGTCTACAGCAGCGTAAAATTGTTACAAGTCCGCCTCAGAAATTTTCCTTATAGCTTTAGTGGGCGAGTAAATACGAGCAGGAGTGCATGGGCAGTATTGAGGTCTAGCAAAATGTTTTCTACATCAAAATTGTTTAGAATTTAACTTACACTCGTGTAGTCTCGTACTTCACCTCACAATTAAATTAAGTTAAACATAGATCAGGTAAACTCAGTGGCCGAATAGTTAACTACTCACAATTAATGTCAGCACAATTAAAAATTCTGTACTTTTATGTCAGGATGGAGAATTTATACCAAAAACACATTTGTTGGCCTTCGATTGTGTCAGCATGTGGACCACCTGATTCCACAAAAAATTCTAGAAAATGGTGCATTACAAACTGCAAGGACAAATGGTTTAAAGATCATCTGCATCTGAAATCACAAATATTACTGTATGCACAACTCACAAGCAGGCCTTCCACTTTGAAGGAAATTTCCTTTTCGAGGGAAATTTTGACAAAATGAAGGAAACGTAAAGGAAATGCAATTCTGAAGGAAATTTGAAGGAAATAATATTTATTACTTAAATATATATTATAATTATATTAATAACAAAAGTTATTACTAATAATAGTGTTTACAAATATTTATTATTTTTGAAAGGAAATTTTGATTAAAAAAAGGAAATTAAAACTTTTCGAAGGAAATATTGTTTTCTTAAAGTGGAAGGACTGCTCACAAGAAAGTCCAGAGCTCGACACAATGCAAAATCCATATAATATACTAAATACAGGTCGAATTCCATTTTGAAACTGAACTGCATAGGTGTACCAGAGCCTGCGGTGCCTCGATGGTATGTCGCGTTTGCGACAACTAACAAACGACGAAGACAGAAACGGGCCCATTGTAAGACACTGGACCTATCGGTCAGTGTAATAAACTTATAACTACAGTAGTGATTTTAGTCCTCTACCACCTGTTATTAACATATTGAAACGTTTTGCCCCATGCTGAGGAATACATTTTATATTAATTAAATTAAATTGAAGCTTATTGAATGTCAGAAATAGCGTACAACTACGTCAATCGATGATTGTGTTGTCAAAGGGAATTAAATGGTATTTCTAAACTCTTTTTCTATTTTGTACAACAACTGATTAATAATTTTCGTGCCACCATGGCAACTACAATCTTTTCCATTAGGAAGTACTTCATGTTAAAACGATGTTTTGGAATTATAGTTGTTCTATTCAAAGAAAGGGCGAGGAGCTGCTGCATCAAATTATGTATTCCTAGTAGGCCTACAAGAAATATGACAGCAGTGACCAGTGGCAGTGTATATTTCTATACTCTTGCTAGACACACCGGACCCAATTCGACAACGAGGCGCGATTTTTCAGTTTTTGAAAGCTAATAAAACAGCCAATGAAAGGAAATTTTAAAAGATATGTATACCAAATAACTCAAAATATTACAGCGCTTCTAAGTATTTGGAAAACTTAAACCAGCATCAAAGTTATCAGTCAGTGAAAATCGAAAAATCGCCCCGCGTTGTCGAAAGCAACATTCAACCCAGCATGCAATGTGAATAAAATCTATTAAAATATGGACAATAAAGAGATAACCTGTGGAATCTTTATTGATTCGAAGAAAGCATTTGATACAGTTGATCACAAAATCTTATTGTCTAAATTGCATTATCATGGAATTAGGGGAACGGTTTATGATTGGTTTTCTTCATATTTAAAGGGACGAACTCAAGTAACTATACAATGGCAAATATTAATTGATATGGAATGTCCATTGGCCAGCAATGGATCAACTATCGGAACTATGCATCACCCGAATAACAGACCATGTGAAGGTTGCCGATCGGAACAATGCATCAACCGGATAAGAGCTTCCGCGTATTTACCATTACGTAATTAACAGGTTGCAAGACCCCATGTTGACATGATTATGAAACCAGAGAGATGATCCAATGGACCAATTATTGTCCAATAGAATTTTACCTGTCCATTGGATCCAATGGACAAATTAGCCTTTCCATTGGAAAATTACCTGTCAATTGGTCCAATGGGAAAATAATATGGAAGTCAATAGACATTTCTTATATCAATAATATAACAATATGTTATTGCTTCGTTCTTAAAAACTCACGCAATATATCATATAGCAATATATAATATGTTGTTGTTTGTTTCTTAAATTAAGAAACCTACACGCAATAGCCTATATCAATATAATATGTTGTTGCTTCGTTCTCAAGAGACCACATTTATATAAAGCGGAAAGGAAAGATCCTTATATCAATCATGATATAATATGTTCTAATTGCTTCGCTCTTAAGAAATCATGCAATATATCAATATAATATGTTGTGAACGTTCGCTTAAGAAATGTTCCTTTGTTCTCAAGAGACGCGCGCAATATATCAATATAATTTTCCTTCGTTCTCAAGAGACCACATACATAGCACGGAAACGGGAAGATCCTTATATCAATAATATAATATGTTGTTGCTCAGTTCGTTCTTAAGAACTCACGCAATATATCCTGAACATAATTTTGCTTCGTTCTCAAGGGACCATGCACGCGAACATAACACGGAAACGGGAAGATCCTTATATGAATAAATAAATATAATATGTTGTTGCTTCGTTCTTAAGAACTAACGCAATATATCATATAGCAATATAATATCATAATATGTTGTTCTTTCTTTCTTTCTTAAATTAAGAAAACTACACGCAATGATATCAATATAATATGTTGTTGCTTCCTTCT